GCTCAATCTCGTCATCGTCGGAGAGGACTTGGCCAGGGTTCCCGCGATGGCGTCTGGATCGCGAAACCCTTGGATCACCAGCCGCGCCTTGGCTCGGTGGCTTCCGTCAGCGTTCCTCGACCACTTCAGCAGGAACCTAGCGCGCATAACCTTCTTGGGGCCCTCTACCTCCGTCTTGTCCTGCTCCCAGACCTGATTGTCAGAGAAGCTCTGGAGCTCCGCGCGCTTCGCCTCCGCAAACTTGGCCTTGTCCTCCGCGTTCATGTTCCTCTCGCTCAGCTCGCCAGCCGCGTAGCACTCCTCAAAGTCCAGGTTGAACGCCATGGTGGCGGCGTCGTAGTTCCAGCCCTTGGGCAGGACCTCCACGCTCATGAACATCGCGTCCTCTGCGATCTCCACTTTGTCATAGGGCCCCGACCGACTGACGCTTCTCTGTCGGTCTCGCTGGGATGAGAACGTACGTAGTGGTGCCATCTCCAAGGCGTCCTGACTCCGTCGCATCTCCTTGAACCTTGCTCTCGCGTCGGTCACCTGTTGATCTGGTAACTCAGCTGGTTGTGGCTGATCTGCTGGTGCTTCTCGCTGTTCTGGTCGTGGGAGTAGATCGGCCTCGTCGTCATCTGGAATGGCCTGGTTGGCGGCCGTCGTTGTAGGCTCCTCGTGGCTGGCAGGCCTGGGCTCCGCTTGGGGCTCTGAACCCTGCGCCGATACCTGTCTGAGTTGATCCGCCATGGCCTGCTCCACCGTCGGCGCACTCCCAGTGGTTGGGGTTGGTTCGTCCTCCTCCATCGGCTCGCTCAAGCGGTCCTCCTCGCTGGGGCCAGGCAGCTGGCTGATGTCGAAGAACTGCACAATACCTCCCCGTCGTAACCCTTGCAAAGCGGTCTGTGCTGCCTGAAGGTTTGCCGGTCGCTTCGGCTCGCCGATCCGCTCCACGATGGGTCTGATTTGGTCTGGGCTGCAGCGTAGAAGACTCCCGCCATGCGTAACCCAGTAGACCTTGGGCTGGCCACTCTCTGAGTCCTCGCGCAACGCCACGGTAGCCGGCCCCCTCCAGCGTGACTTCTGGAGCCTGCTGGCCCCGCGATCGCGCCAGTAGTAGCGCTCCTCGCCCACGTTGACCGAGTCGTGCGCGTCACGTCGCTTCCGCAGGAAGGCCCTGCGAAGCCTCTCCGTCGAGTCCGCCTTGATGAATGCCGTAGCTGCGGCCACGCGCCGCTGCATCGCCTCCTGGAAGGTCTCCTCCTCCAGGTAGGCCTCCGCTGCTGGCGCGTGTAGAGTATCAGCGGACAGGGAGTCGTTCAGCTCGGGGTTGTAGCCCGGGACCCACTGTGCTGGACTGTAGCCCTTGTGGTGCATCATCCTGTTGATCTGTCTGGGCACATAGTCCAATGCTGTCTTCAGGTTCTCGATGGTGCGCTCTAGGCCGGTCTCCTCGAACCAGAGCTCCGTCGTCTCGCGCATCACCTGGTGAGCTCGCTCCACGGGGCCCAGTGCCTCATGGGCCTCGCCAGGGGCGACTCGCATCTTGATGTTGTGTTGGCTGGCCCAGTCCAGCATCTCCTGACTGCATGCTGCGCCGCACTCGTCCATTATGAGGTTGGTTGGGGTCCCGTAGTGCCGAATCCACTCCTTCTCGATGGACTTGATGGCCTCGGCGGTCGTCTCCCGGTTGACGATCCTGCACTTCTGGAACCGGCTAGCTCCGTCCAGCACGTGCGCAATCCTCGCCGAGCCTGAGCGCAACTTGAACTCGAAGAAGTCCAGGTACAGTGCCTGGTTGAACGTCGTCCAGGAAGTCGGTGCCGACTTCGGTGGCTGCGATGCTCGCTTGCGCTCCGCGCAACTGGCGCACTTGCACTGCTTGGCGCAGGCGATGACTTCTTCTCTGGCGCCCGCTGTCGTCAACACCCCCACGAACACCTCCATGCTGGGGTGGCCCAGGTTCTTGTGGAGGCGCTCCACGTACCCGAACACGTTCTGGCCGAACTCGCTCTTGAGCATCTTGTTCTGGTACGTCTGCTTGGCCTCGTTGCTGTCCACCGTCGTGTGGTAGATATACTCCACCGCGTCCTCGCCCTCCTTCAGGCCCAACACCAGGACGTCGGGGTCCTGACTCGGGGGCTGCTCCAGCAGGTCACTCAAGATCTGCGCCAGGAGGGGCCCGTAGTTCTCGGCGAAGCTGGTGCGGTGCAAGTTGGTGCCTGGAATCTTGCCTTCAAGGTGGACATGCTTATGCTGTTTATCACACTGGTACTTTTTGAGTCCTAGAGCCATTCCTCGTCGTGTCGTGCGAACTCCAGTGCGTTTCCGAGCCAAGCCTTCCCCTGGAATCTCCAGTCCTGTCATGCACTGGTCGAATAATACATGATGTCCGGGTAACTCGTAAAGTGCCTTCGTCCTCCAGCTCCGTGCCGTAGCTGGTTGCTCCAGGTGAGCATCTCGGTAGGCTTGCCACTGCTTGTTGTAGATCTGCTTGCAGAACATCAGGTGCGCGCGGTGATGATCCTCACGACGCTGCTGCAACAACTTATTGTCCTCGTCGGTTTTGCAACCTCGCTCCTGCATGATCGTCCAAGCCTTGCACTCGGGGCTGATCCATATGTCGTCGGGCTGCTCCTCGTCGATCAGGTTGAGGAACCTCTTCTGTATGCTGGGCTTGCTGAAGTCCCAGCCGTTGTGCACTCCGAACGACCTCGCCTGGTGTCCACGCTGTCTCAGCTCCTTCGTCAGCTCCGAGTTGCCGCCATAGACCTCCCATATTCTGCGCTTTCCTTTCTTGACGTCCTTGGCCCTGCTCAGCTCCTGATATATCTCCTTGCTGGCCGCCTGTAGGGCGTCCTGGCACTTGCGCAACTGCTTAACGTTGAGGTCCTTGGCGATATGGATGTCGTCGTCTGCCCTGGCAACCTTGTTGTCGATCTCGACCATGTTGCCGATGAAGTCCACCGACTCCTCGTAGGCCAGCACCTCGTCTCCAAGGAATGTGCAGGGGCTGATTGGGTGCTGCGCGCGAACATGGTCCAACATATTCTGCGGCAACAGAGTCTGGTCGGCGCGATCTTTCATGCACTCATCGTAGCTCTCCAGCATGTCCAGGATGAAATGTCCTCTCTTGGGCTGCTGGCGTAGCTGAAACCACTTGCCGTCACCGTCCCAGCATGCCCTCTTGCTCCTGTAATCCACGACCATGCCCAGCTCCTCCATCACCGGTCTGGCGAACAGAAACGGCGCACGCCCAGGGATCACGTAGGTGAGGATCTCCACGAACTTGCCGCCAGGGAAGGAGGGAACCATGACACATGCGGTCGCATCGCCGGTCGCGTCGTTGCCGTACCTGAAAATCTTGTTGCACGGGAATATCTTCATCTTGTTGACTGGGAACCCTTTTGTGACCAACTGCTTGCAGTAGCCCTTGAGCGTCTCGTGGCCCACTATCACGCTGGTCGCTCCACTATCGCGTATCGCCTCTGATGGGTCCAGCTCGGTCGAGTTGTACACGTCCTCCGTATCGTCGGTGACCATCCTCGCCTCGGCCGCATCGTCTCCGACATTCTGTCTCTTGCGGCTCGCATGTGGGTAATCTCTGGCGAAGTGACCTCGACCTCCACATCGTAGGCATATAGTCTCTTCCGTCGCTCTGATCAGTGGCAGGGATGATGGCTGACCCCGTCCAGGTGAGCCTCTGCCATGTCCGCTGGCATACGTACTCTTGCCACGTCCTTTGCTGGTGCCTCTCCCAGTCGCCTTTCCTCTGGATGTGCCGCGCGCCGCGCCTCGTCCTCGAGCCTGACCGGCCCTGGGTACGATAGCCGTTGTGCTTCTCTGTGGTGGCGGCACCATCGCGACAACTGGGTAGAAACCTCTGGCCAATCTCATGTCATTCATCTTCTGTCTCGCGTCCGCGTAGGCTGCCATGATCTCATCGTACTGGTCCACATCGTATGTCTGGTCCGGCATGGGGTTGCCACTCACGGTGGCCGTCTCGCTGTGGTAGGCCGCCTCTGAATCGAAGCCGTGGCCTGCGTATGCCTGTTGATCCTCTGCAGCGTCCTCATAGTAGTCGTCTTCCTCGTACCCGTAGTGGTAGTAGGCATCCTCCTGGACCTCGTCCTCTTCGTCGTAGTCGTCCAGGTTGTAGGCTGCTGCTCCTGAGCTCGCTCTGGTGCTTGGGAAGGAGTCTAGGCCAAACGTCTTCTTCATCTCGCTCTCTACCTTGTCCAGCGACAGGTCGTCGCCAACCTGGCTGGTGACCAGCTGCTTGCCCTCTCTGTCCAAACCTGCCCGTCGTAATAAGAACCAGCCGAGCACCTTGTCTGGTAATGTTACGTCGTGTGCGCGGATCTTCCGCTCGGCTGTGCGAAACCTCGTGAGGTAGTCCATCAGCGTCTCCTTTGGCTTGCGGGCCGTCTTGAAGGAGAACGTCTCGAAGTCTGTCGGCAGCTCCGTAATCTGGTCGTACTTGTATGCCCTGTCGAACGCATCTAAGATGGTCCGCCAACCTTTCTCCTCCTCGAGCTTCTCGATGTCCAGATCCTCGACCACCTCCCACGCTCGACCATTCAGGCCCTGCATGATCTCCAAACCCACTGTTCTCTTTTGTTCTCTGCCACGAGCTCGAGCTGCGAAGATCTCCACCTTCCGTCGGAAGGTCTTGCACCCGTCGATCGAGCCGTCGAACTCTGGGGCTCGACCCAGGAATCCTGAGGAGAGCTGCTGTCCGTCTCCAGCTGCTGCGGCACGCCCAAGCGCGCCTCCTGCTGCAGCTCCTCGTCCCCCTTTGCCGTCTGGTGGACCCATTGTCGAAGTGCTTCTCTGTGTCCGTGTCCGTGTCCGTGGAGCTACTGCTCCGCTACCAATGTCAACTCGTCGACGCTCTCGAGGTCGTCAAACTCTCTCTCGAAATCCGTTTCCCGTCCTCGGCCGAAACGTCCTCGACACTATCCCCGATCTCGCTCTGCGGGCGGGGAGAAGTGATGGTAACCTTTTGGTCTGCCGAGAGGCCTCTCGAGCTAAAGATGGCAATGGTGCTTGCTGTCATGAATGCTGCTCTGCACTGCGTGCTGTACACATGCTCTGCCATGCCTGCTGGGGAGGGTCGTATCTAACATCTTCTGTCAGAAAACCTCTGAAATACACTCGCAACTGCATTGTATGGAGTACAATTCACACCACCACCACCACCACCACCACCACCACCACCACCACCACTACCACCACGACAACCACGCACACACGCACGCACGCACGCACGTGCACCACCACCCACTACGCACGCGCGCGCGGAGCCACAGGTCCGCTACGACACGCGTCCGCGGATAGAGAAAATCAGCGCCATGGTAAGGGATGGGAGGGAGGGGTAGGACGTCAGATATGACGCGAGCGCACCTAGCTTGTCCTCCTCCCCCTCCACCTCCGCCTCCCCCTCCCCCTCCTGCCTTCCTCCTCCTCCTGCTCCTCATCCTTCCTCCCTCCTCCTCTTTCCTCCTCTTCTCCTCCTCCTCCTCCTCCCTCTCCTCCCTCCTCCCCTCCTCCTCCTCCTCCTCCTCCTCCTCCCCTCCTCCTCCTCCTCCTACCTCCTCCCCTCCTCCCTCCTCCTCCTCCTCCTCCTCCTCCCCTCCTCCGCCTCCTCATCCTCCTCGCTCCTCCTCCTCCTCCTCCTCCTCCTCCTCCTCCTCCTCCTCCTCCCCTCCTCCTCCTCCTCCTCTCCTCCTCCTCCTCCTCCTCCTCGCTACTCCTCCTCCTCCTCCTCCTCCTCTCCTCCTCCTCCCTCCTCCTCCTCCTCCTCCTCCTCCTCCTCCTCCTCCTCCTCCTCCTCCTCCTCCTCCTCCTCCTCCCCACCTCTCCTCCTCCTCCTCCTCCTCCCCCTCCCACCTCGCCCCTCCCCCTTCCCCATCCTCCTCCGCTCCTCCTCCTCCTTCTCCTCCTCCCTCCTCCTCCCCCTCCTCCCCGCCCCTCTGCTGTCGGCCTCCTGCTCGGTTTCGCGCAGCTGTCCCTTTTCCCCTGCTACGGCAGCGGCAGCGGCAGCGGCAGCGGCAGCAGCAGCGGCAGCAGCAGCAGCGGCGGCGGCAGCAGCAGCAACATGGGCCGTCTGCAGCCCGACCGCGCGAACCTCCACTGGTCGGCTGGGCGTGTGCAGGCCGTCCGCCTGCACCTCGGGGCCCGCGGGCGCGAGCCGGCCAGCCGCTGCAGGAGGCGCGCAGCTGCTGGAGCTGGAGTCCGTGGCGTCCCCCCGCCCGTCTGGCAGGGCGTCCCCGGCACAGGCGCGCTGGCGCGAGCCGGAGCAGGGCACGCTCCCCAGCTTCGCCGCTAGGCCTTCCGGAGCTCCAGGCCTGCTCTGCGCAGGCTCCGCGGCCGGGCCGGCCGCGCGCGCGCAGCTGCTGTCAGGCCCGTGGGGCGGTGGGTCTTCGGCCGGGCTCGGTCCTGGCTCGCAGCTGCCGCCAGGCCCCGCCGGCGGATGCTCCGCGGCCAGGCTCGCCACGAGCTCGCCACTTGCCTGAGCACTGCTTGCCACCTGGCAGGCTCCCAGGCATGTGGCGACACCAGCGCCCGCCCGGGGAGTCCAGGGCCAGAGCCAGAGGAGCAGGCCCGCGCGCGCCTGCTCTAGCAGCAGGCCAGGGAGCGCCGTGGCCTTCCGGATGCAGGACAACCTCTGGCGCCACGACGCAAAAACTCTCTGGAAGTCAAGGCGGCCAGCTGGCCGTGGCAGCCCAGCAGAGGCCGCCGATGAGCGTGCTGCGCCCAGGCCAAGCAGGGCTCCAGCACCCTCCAAGGCAAGAGGAGGGCCTTCAGCACTGGACGCCGCCTCGCCAAACGTCGACGCGCTGGCACCCGAAGACGAGGGCTCGGCTTCGCCGTCCGCGGCAGCTGGCGTTGTCAACCGGGTGGGCCCTGGCGACGCATCTTGCGCCCCAGCGGCGGGAGTCAGCACTGGCAGCTCTGCACTCCCACGGCGGGCGACGGCCCCGTCTGGCGAAGGCTCGCCCAGCGCTGGGGTGCACTCGCAGTGGTTGTCGAGGTCAGCCGGGCCCGCTGGAGCGGCCTGCGGAGGGGCGTCGCCGAGCTTCTTGTCGCAGTGCTGAGATGTGGTAACAGGGATCGCCATCAGCTCGTGCCGCTTTCCGTCGGTCACGAGGGCCAGTTCGCCAACCACGTGCACGCCACGGGGCGACAGCGCGTCCGTGGAACTGTCGCAGACCACCCTGCACTGAATCACGCCCCCCGCGGCTGGGCAGAAGCCATCCAAAAAGAACTGTAGCACGGAGCCGCGCTCCCAGTCCACAACGTAGAGAACGTCCTCTGCCACGTGGATGCCGCAAGGCTTTCTGAAGCTGGAGCCGTCGCTCGGCACGAGTGGCTTCCCCTCTCCCGCGCCAAGCCGCCACGCCATCACGCGCGAGTTGTACGTGTCCGTGATGAACAAAATGTCCTTCCACAAATGGCAGCTCGTCGGCCAGGATAGCTTACCTGGCACACAGCCAGGATCGCACGATGATGATCCCACCACCAGCTCGCCCTCAGACGCGCCCGACAGCCAGCGCACCACGCGGTGGTTCCCACCGTCGCACACGTACAGCAACCAACGAACTCGGGCCCTCGCGCCCCCCCTCACAAGACTGGCACTGGCCCCCCTGGGTGACACACCCGTAACTTTGGCGGCGCGCGCAAGGGGGGGAAGGAGGGGGGAGGGCTTCTTGGAAGGAGGCTGCTTCTTAGAAGGCGGCGGTCCTGTACCTACAGATAAGGCCCGCGCCTTTCAAGAAGCAGGGGTGCTTTTAAGAAGCCCTCCCTCCTCCCCCCACACCCCTCTGCGCGTGGCTGATAACTGCTCGAGCTCGCCATGGCGACCCCTCAACGTCTCAGACCGCTGTGCGAACATGCCACGTGCTGGAGACACTTCCTCGGAGATCGAGGATCTTCTGACCCGGGTCAATCCAGACCAGGGTCAGTCAGGCCTTGCAGGATCCTGCAAGATCCTGCACCCAAGCCTGGGTCAATGCGAAGGATCCTCCAACATCCTGCAGGATCCTGCACCCAAACCCGGGTCAATGCGACCCTGGCCCTGCAGGACCCTGCAAGATCGGACGCTCTGGCTGACCCCCGTTTGCATTGACCCCCGTCTCTTGAGCCCCGAACCGCGATCTGACACCTCGGTCCGGCCTCAGTTAGATCCAAAGTTGAGATGTTAGTCGGGCGTTGCCAGAACTGGGTTTAGTGGGACCTGGTTTAGTGATGTGTGCTGGGGGACGCCCCCCCCCGCCCCGTTCCACTAACCGGAACTGCCGTCACCCGAAAAGCACCAGCTACGGCAGACCTGGTTTGATGATTCTGGCCAATTTAGGGGCTCCGGGGCCGTCCCCTTACCTGGGGTCCTGACCATACTCGAGTTAGTCTACACTCCTGTTGCCAGAACGCCGTCTTCTAGAAGGAGGTAGTGGGGCAGTATCAGTGAGCATGTCTCCCTTTCCTAGGGAGCCCACAAATGACGTACGCGCCCAACTATGTACATGAACACGGCCCCTCGATTCGCGAGACCGGCCGCATTGTACGAACATTTGTGAAATGCGTGCTCTCGAAACCAGCGTGGATTCATGTACATGTACGTCCTTCTTTCGCTCCTGATTTCCACTCGCCGACACCGTAGTGCCCAAAGAGCAAGAGGCCAGACGCATGCGGGTCCGCTCCTCTGGGGCATCAGCAAGAGCCAGGGCCCCGTCGCGGAGCCCGGCCGGCCGCGGAGCAGCCCCTGAACTGAATGGGGCCCTGCGACGCGCACATGAGTAGACACACGTCCCAGGATTCCGCAGACTTTCCAATATTTCAAAAGTTTTCGTCTGCCTCACTACTTCCCCCCCCATATTTCCCGACCTTCTCCTGGGAGTCGACGATTCGTAGTCCGTGATTTTCTCCCCAACAGACACGCACATAAGTAGACACACGTCCCAGGATTCCGCAGACTTCCCATATTTAAAAAAAGTTTTCGTCTGCCTCCCTACTTCCCCCCCTATATTTCCCGATCTTCTCCTCGGAGTCGACGATTCATAGTCCGTGTTGTGTTTTTTCACCAAAAAGCCCGGGTCGGCCGAGGGCGGAAAACGAGGGGACCCGTAGATCTTTCAAATATTCCGTAGATTTTTTTCAAATATTTCAAAAATTTTCGTCTTCCTCCCTACCTTCCCCCCCATGTTTCCCGATCTCCTCCTGGGAGTCGACGTCGACGACTCCTGGTCTGTGTTGTGCTTTTCCCCCCCCAAAAAAAAAAACGGGTCGGCCGAGGGCGGAAATCGGAAGAGAGGGAGCCGGCCCCGCGGGGCCAGGGGACCCCAAAGGGCCAGCCGGCGGGGATTTTGGCGGACAACCCGTGAGCGCAAGCCCTCGCTTCCACAGCGTCGACCTCCCAAGAGTCGAGGCGTTGACCCAAGGAACCCTAAATAAGGATCCCAAAGGGGACCCCAAAGGGTCCGCCGGCGGGCATTGGCGGACCCCCATGGGCGCCAGCCCTCGCTCTCACAGCGTCGACCTCCCAGGAGTCGAGGCGTTGACCCAAGGAACCCTAAATGAGGAACGATGCCCCTAATTTTCCATAAGTGAACCTTCGATTTCCTGTCGAAAGCATAAGGAAAGCCTGAGGCAAGCTGTGAAACAGTTAAGGAACGCGGAGCCCCTCCCCAGCCAAAAGGCTTCCTTCTTCAGGGCCCCGACTGCAGCGTCGACCTCCTAGGAGCCTCGATGCCCTTCCCCGGGACCTGCTCTTCGTCCCGAGTCGTTCTGTGGCGGCCCCGAGGCCCGGGAAGGCCCCCCAGAAGCCGACGATGGTGAAAAACCCTCCAGTCGTGTTTTTCTCACTGCGCGAGGGAATATGGGTTGAGCAGGGGCCGACCGTCCCGGCATTCCTACAGTCCTACGACGAGATGCCCTCAGAACCCAAGAGTGTTCTAAGATCAAAAACCATGTTCCTAGAACACAAGCCCGATGCGTTAAAACAAGACGGACTCCGCCAGAAATGTTCCAAGAACATCTCCTGGAAGCCACAAAAGGTTCTTAGAACACTGTTCGGTAGGGCTATAGGCGAGCCAGGACGCTTCGCCACTGCTCGACCACTGCGCGAGGGGGTCTGGGCTGCATAGGCCCCGGCCGGCCCGACCTCCGCGCCCAAGCCCGGGGCCTCGAGCCGCGGAGCGCCCGCGGGGACGGATGGGGCAGCCCCCGGGGGCCTGGCACGCGAGAGCTCACGCAGAGGAGTGGCGAGGCCAGGGCGGAAGCCACAGGTGCACGCGCGTGCGCGCAGACACGCAGACGCACAACAACACACACACACACAAACACAAACACACACACACACACACTCACCACACAAACACACCACCACACACAACACACACAACACACACAAACACAAACACAAACACACACACACACACACTCATAGTTACACTCATACACTCATACACACCCGCACACACACACACACGTTTTGATCCGCGCACAGGCACACCTTTTTTATGCGTCGCGGCCCTGCGCGCGGCAACAGGGCGTGGAAGGTCGGAATACAGCGAGGCGCCAGCGTCTAAGCCCGCCCGAGCACTCAGAGCCTACTGAGGGCCTCGCAACCGCCGGCGGCCATATTCATCCTGGCAGAGATAGCGGGAAGGGGCGGTGAGCAGACGCAGACACACACAGACACAGACACACAAACACACAGACACACAGGCACAAAGACACAAAGACACAAAGACACACAGACACAGCGACACACAGACAATCAGACACACAGAAACACAAGCACACAGGCACACAGGCACACAGGCACACATGCACAAAGGCACTCAGACACAAAGACACACACACAGATACACGGGCACCCAGGCACACAGGCACACAGGCACACAGGCACACAGACACACAGGCACACAGGCACACAGGCACACAGGCACACAGGCACACATGCACAAAGGCACTCAGACACAAAGACACACACAGACACACACAAGCAGACACACACACACAAACACACACAGACACACACACACACAGGATACACACACAGACACACACAGACATACACAGACACACGCAGGCACACACACAGACAGACACACACAGACACACACACAGACACACACACAGACACACACAGACACACAGACACACACAGACACAGACAGACGCAGACACACACACACACACAGACACACGAAGACACACACAGACACACACACAGACAAACACACAGACAGACACACACAGACAGACACACACACAGACACACACAGACAAACACACAGACACACAGATACAGACAGACACCCACATACACACACATGCAGACACACAGAGACAGACACACACTCACAGACAGACACACGCACAGGCACACACAGGCACACACACACACACAACACACACATATACACACTGACACACACACACAGACACTCAGAGGCAGACACACGCACACAGACACACACAGGCACACACAGACACACACACAACACACACAACACACAACACACACACACACCACAAACAAATACATAGACATCCACAGACAAACACACAACACACAACCCACACAACACACAACACACAGACACACACAGACACACACAGACACACACACACACAACACACAACACACAACACACAACACACACGCGCACGCACGCGGATCCGCGCACACGCACACAGACACAAACACTCGCGTACACGCGCCCGCACATCCGTCCTCCTTCGGCGCTGTAGCCACTGTAGTCACGAACGCGAGGTACGCAGACGGGATGCGTCAACAATGATTGCAAACAAGCTCGTGTCGAACGCGCTCGAATCGAAGCCGTGAGATCCTGGGTAAATGGCAGGCGGCGCCGCGTGCGCACACACACACACACCACACCACACCACACCACACCACACCACACCACAACACAACACAACACAACACAGCACAGCACAACACAACGCACCGCACCGCAACGCAACGCAACGCAACGCAACACAACACACACACGCGCGCGCACACACAACATAACAAAGTGAGCGCGGGATTGCAAGCAGCATCCCAGGCGTGGCAGTACAGGCGCGGCCGCACAGGATTTCCCGACCTAGATCCTGGGAGCGGCAGGAAAATCATAGCCCCTGTTGGTCCAATGAGGTCCTTCCTTCAGCGTCCTGGCTGTTGGTTGGCCCCCTCCTCCGACTTCGTTGGCAGTCTAGCGCCCACTGCCCCTCGCCGGGCCCCTCCTGCAGACAGATGCCCGTTGGCGCGCACAGCTGGCTCAGCCGTCCGCCGCGGCCCCGCCCCCCGGCAACGACCGCTGGCTCCCCGAAGCCGACCGTCTGCGGCCTCAGGAACTCCATCACCATCTGCTGGACGCGGAGCACGCCGGCCTCGGA